CCCTCCAATACCTTTAGGCAGGTCTTTGGGCCCACTTTGGGCACAGTGGGGGCAGCTGAGACTCTGACCTGGTCCAACTCCCGCGTGTACTTGCCCCCAAAGTCCACAGCTGCTAAAGCTAGACCAGTCTTAGTTGTGGGAGCACTCGTTGTCCCTTCAGATATTCCACAGACGCAGGGTTTACCAAGCCAATCGCGGGGATTTAATCTGCAGATTGTGCAGGTGCAGAGATTTCTGTTTCTCTGCCTTCGCTGCACAGCCCCTGGGAGTCTGCTTTGGTTTTGGTCCCACCTGTGCCTCTGCATGTGGGCCACCCTCAGACATCTGGTCCTCGCCCAGGTGAGAGGGGGCAAAAGCAGCGGCTGACTAAGGCACACTTGCTTGGCTCAGGCCACGGAGGGATAAGGTGGCCACAAGTGGTGTGCATACGCTTCCTCCAATGGGATCCCCTTCTACTGCCCGCAGGGGCAGGACTGGCAGGAAGTTGCAACAGACTGGGGCATGCTCGCTCCGGTGGGAGTCCCTCCCAGTTCCTGCAGAGGCAGGGGCTGCCGTGTGGGGAGAGAGTCCGAAGATGGCGGCGGCGCCGCCCATTGTGTGCCACTCAACAATGGCGCCTCGCTTCCAAGGCAGACCACTCTTCCACCAGAAGTATTCCTGGCCGCGAAGCCCCTCACTCCCATCCCCTCAGGTTGTCTCCACACAGCTGAGCTCCTCACTCCAGTCCTTTCCGCCTGTCTCCATGCAGCCAATAGCCGTTCTCACCCTGGGTCTGCTCTCCTAACCCCACGCTTTAGCATTCAGCCCCTGCCTGCCTTGGCTGATTCCTGTCTCAGGCTGGGGCGCCCAGGGCTGATTCCCGAGGCGGCTTTGGTGGGGGCAGCGCTCAGGATCCCAGAGCCTGCGCAGGCAGAGGAGGCCTTGGCTTGAGGGAAGGGCAAGCCTGCTCAGATGGGTGACCCTCCCAGTGCCCGTGGAGGCAGCGACCGATGGGTAGGGAAGGGGGTTGCTCTGGCCGCCCCGCCCCTTGTGCACCACTCAACAATGGCGCCTTGCTTCTACGGTGGCCTGGGCTTCCACAAACTTGCCCGGTTGTGGAGTTCCTTACTCCCGTCCCTTCACAGACAACAGCTGTTCCCTCCGTGGGTCCACTCTCCAAACCCCACTTTTCGGCACCCAGCACCCCTCCATACCAGGAGACACACGACTCAGGCTGGGGTGCGCAGGGCTGCAGCACAGACCACGCACGCACATCTTACTCTCTCTCCTGCCTTCCACAGACCGGTTGCTGCATTCCCCTCCGATGCCCTGAAGCTCCTTCTCTGTCCCAGCTGATTTACCTGCCCTGAGGGGGTTTCTCTGAGTGCAGGAACCTATCCTTTCTGTTTCCTCTTTTCTTTTTTTCTTTCTTTGGTCCTACCCGGTTGCGTGGGGATTTTTCTGGTCCTTTTAGGTGTCCGAAGTCTTCCACTAGTGTTCAGCCAGTGCTCTGAGAAAATTGCTCTATTTGTAGATGTATTCTTGAGGTGAATCTACGTCCTCCTCTTGCGCTATCTTGATTCCTCCCCTCTCCATCATGTTTTGAGCACTACATTACTTTTGGCACTAAAAGATATTACAGACTCATACTTTTCCCTGCCTCAGCTCTGGAACTAGACATTTCTTCATGGAGTCCTGGCTCCTTTTAGTAGGAAATGAATTTAGAAACCAAGATTTGGGCACTTTGGTGTGCTCATTGCTCCTTGTGTATAGTTGACCCCAGACCCTTTCCGTGGATAGAGACAGGGAATATCTCACACACACACACACACACACACACACACACACACACACACAGAGACCTACAATACAGTTACATCTCCATTTTGTATATCACATATGTTGAAAGCCATGGCTCTAATTCTAATCCAACATGGGAATCATTCTAGTTTCCTCCCTTTACATATATGTAACAATAATCTAACAAAAGTGAAAAATCCTGCCCCTGTTTTCTTAATATATTTACTTGCTTGTATGTAAGCAATCTTTTTTCACTGCCCCTACCTCCCTCTCCATCTAGATGCCCTCCTTGCCCTGCTCGAACACTGACATCCAATGCTAGGCCACCAATGTCTGCCTCCCTCCCTCAGACCTCCCACCAATAAAAAATGCCCTCCTCACCCCAGGCTCCAACACCCTAGTGCTGGGCCACTGCTGCTGTCCTCTTTCCCACGTGGCTCCTCTAGATCCCATTGAAGTTCTGATATCTGGTGCCCAGATGATGTCAAGCCACTGACACCACTGTTCCACAAAAATAAATGCCTCACTCCTCAGCCTCCAACACACCCTTAGCCAGGTTGCTCTCTGGCTTAGATGCCCTCCTCACCCTCTGCCATCCCTTCCACAGGGATGCCATCATTGCCCTATTCAGGGCCTGATAATCCTGTTGTGTCAGTGAATTAAACAGACACTCTCATAATGTAGCCTAGGCTCAGGCACTCCATGCTGACCCATCATGGTCACTCCCCACGCCTCCAGCTGAAGCCTACCTACCCTGTCCAACTTTCCCAGTGACTTCTGGACTTGGGGAAGAGATTCTGTTTTTTTTAATGAAAGCTCTTTCCTCATGTTCTAATCTGATAACCCACACCTTGCAAACAATTAAGCCAGTTGTAGGCAGACTCACCTATCATGTGTGTCATAATTCCTTTAACCAGAAGAAATTTAATAAAAAGAGTCCTTTGTATAAGGGAAACAGACTTCACTAAAACACATCACTAATCTCAGTCTTTAACACTCCAACAGGCAGGGTCCTTATCTGGGGCAACAGTGCAGAGGATGGATACACCAATTTTACAGGGTAATAATCCTATCTCCCCTATGCATAGTTTGTACCTACCCAATCTTTCCTGTATCCCAAGACATGTTTTCCAAAGTCTAGTAAGTTGTTTGTTTGTTTTTTAACTGACTGGAGCTTATATATGGGAGGAAAAAAAAAGTGAGTTAACTTCCAATTCTAAGACTTCTGTTAAGAGCCTACATGCTATATAATTTTATTTACTAAAGACCCCTTTCAATTTTGAATGAAAAACTGAATGTTTGACAAAAGTGAACTGTGAATCAGCAATCAATGAACAGACCCAAGGTGGCCTCTTAACTCATTCATCAAAGAGTGCATCACTTCTTTTAGGACAGAATTCCCTGATATCTAAGCATCCTTTCAGAGTGAGTATAGTGATCTAGGGAGCCATTTCTATTAGTTATTCCTCCCATCTACTGTGGTCTCTGAAATACATTTGCCAGTAAGTCAATCTAACTTAAAGATTTATCCATTATTCACACAATTTCCACCTTTTCTCCAAAAATAGCATTTCCCAAAGTGTGTTCCAGGAAACACTGGCATCTCAGAATGTTAATACTTGTCATGGAATTAAAAGCATACGGGGCCAAATAAGTTGGGAATATTCAGGTGACACAGATTTCTCCACTGTAGAACTTTTCAGAGCCTATATTACATGAATCTTAAGGAGACAAAGATGAGACACAGCTTTCCCTTTCCCTGACCCAATATCACTCAACTATAGTAACCTTTTTTTTTTTTTTTCTGTGGTACACGGACCTCTCACTATTGTGGCCTCTCCCGTTGCGGAGCACAGGCTCCGGATGCGCAAGCTCAGCGGCCATGGCTCACGGGCCCAGCCGCTCCGCGGCACGTGGGATCTTCCCGGACTGGGGCACGAACCTGTGTCCCCTGCATTGGCAGGAGGACTCTCAACCACTGCGCCACCAGGGAAGCCCTGGTAACCCTTTTCGAGTGGATCATTTCTTAGAACTAATGTTCTGTAGAAAATATGATGAAAAAAATTCTCTAACATTTAATAATAATATATCTCTTTAATTAAAAATCTTAGGCCATTTACAAAAAAGGAAAATATAAGAAGTTAGATATATGGACAAATATTCAAATTACTAATAATCAAAGAAATGCAATTAAAACAATAACTGTTGACTTGTCAAGAACACAATGAATTCAACAAATGATACTGGTGAGAGTATGGTGACCCAGGCACTCTTGTACATTGCCAGTAAAGGGTACCTATCTTTTAAGAAAACAGTACAATTCTTTTGGAAAGCAGTTTGGCAAATGTTTTTGAAATGTTTATGTCCACTAACCTTAAAATGGCCCATCTGAGATTCTCTTCTTCAGGAAACATTCCAAAATGAAGAAAATGTTTTATGCTCAAAGATGCTAATAGCTATACTTATAATAGTGGGAAAAAATCCCAAATAATGAAAATTTCCAGTAATAGGGAAATGTCTCAGTAAACCAAGGTACATGGTACATGATATGCAGCCGTGAAAAAGATTTACAACGTTTTTATCAGCATGGGGGAAATGCTTCTATTATTATGGTACCTAAAAACTGTGGACGTCAAAAGTCTAAATACAGATCCAGTTGCCCCCTGACGCCCACGGAGGATACTTCAACATACCATTTCTTCCAAAAGTACAGTGAGGTAGAGCTGAACTTTTAAAGTGATTTTCAGACCCTTAAAAAAATTACTGTAAAAGCACAAGAAAGCCCTACTGAAATGGGAAGTGGGACAGCTGGTTAGGTCACTTGCCAGTTAAGTGTTTTACTCACAAATCCCAGCAATTCAAATTTGTGCCTCAGCAAAATTATTATTTAATACATACAATGAACTTGTGGAGCTGCTTGGGAATGTAAGATGGTGACTATTAACTCCAAATGCGAAGGGTCTATTTATTACTTATTTAATTCAAAAAGTAAAGGAAGAAAACATCCCAAAATGCTAGCAATATTTATTTGGTGGAGGGGGGAGGGGGCAGGGGAGGGACATGTATTAGGAATGATTTTTCTCTTCCTTCCTACTGCTTTCTGAACTTCCCAAACTTTCTGTAACGGGAATGCATTACTTTTTTAGTAAATGTTTTAGTGAAATACAAGGCATGAAAGTTAAAGTTTACTTGTTAAAAAGAATAAAATAAAAGGCAAATACCTGTCCTTTTGTCCTGTAATCTGCCAAGATGTTAAGCAGCTTATAAAATACTTCGAACCAGGGGAGGTAGCTGGGGGAAGAAGAGGAAACACACGGAATATTAGTACGCAGGTCAAAAACTTTAACCAGGAGCTAATTCAAGGTGGTACATTTCGGTTTCTCTCTACATCGTGAAGAGCCTTCCTGTCATAGGCTGTGCTGGAAACGCAGACTGGTAAAATGTTAATTATTTCTGAGATTTAAAAAAATTGCCTGTGTAAGGCAGAAGATTGAATGTCCATTATTAATTATTCCCATGCCTCAGAGCTATAACAGGTTCACAGAGAAGAAATTCAAAGCAGACTCTGCAATCAGGAACCATCTCTGAATAGCCCCCCAGGCCCCACACCCACCCCTTCCAGGAAAGCTTCTGTTCAAGTTTCTCATGATTGGACACACACAGCCACACACACATACAGCACTTCCACTGCTGCCATGTGCAAGGTGTCCCAAAGGCCCCATGAGCCTGAAACCACTCATCAAACCTTCTATTACAATGCACCCTTCCCTGTACTTACTGCAGAAAGAGCTCTAACTCTGCACCCCACCCTGCCCTCCACCGGATTCTGACCATCATGTCCCTTAACTCTGATGACAGCCTGGTCCTGACCTTACTCCATTCTCTGTGTGGCTCATAGAATGGTCTTTCTAAAGTGCGAATCTAAGCGGCACATTCCTGCGGTGGTGCCTCATCACTACGGGACTTCTTAAGACCGTGTTCAAGGCTCCTCTGTCAGGTCCTTGACTGTGTCTCCAGCTGTCCTCGCCCTGCAGCCCCACATACATACTCCTCTCACTGCAGCCACGCTCCGAGGAATGTCCAGGCATCCTCAAGCCTGCCAGAGCTTGCACTGCATACACTTGGCACTTTTCTCCCTCTGACCTTCATGATCTAGTCTAGCTGATTTCTACTCATCCTCCTAACAGTTCCCCACCCCCTCCCCATCCCCACCTCTCATGCCCTAATTCCCTTTTTTCTGTGCTGCCCTGTCATGTGCAAACTCCTGTTATAACAGTCCACACACCATGTGGCCCTCAATGGCGTGTCTGTCTTCCCAGCAGACTGAGCATGACGAAGAGGAAGGATCACATCTTTCTTTACTTTGTCTTCCTAGGACCAAGCATGGAGCCTAGCAGACCCTCAGTGCTCAGTGTTGATAGAACAAACAAAACCAAACAAAGACTAAAAACGAAGGCGCATTGTTGCTATAGAATTATTGTTGAAACATACCCCTAACTCCCAAGAAGTTTTTTCACTTAAAATTTAAATGGCTGGGGCTTCCCTGGTGGTGCAGTGGTTGAGAGTCCGCCTGCCGATGCAGGGGACGCGGGCTCGTGCCCCGGTCCGGGAAGATCCCACATGCCGCGGAGCGGCTGGGCCCGTGAGCCATGGCCGCTGAGCCGGCGCGTCCGGAGCCTGTGCTCCGCAACGGGAGAGGCCACAACAGTGAGAGGC